GTGCAGGCGTTTTAGGATGAGCTTTTCCAGGATTTTGCCTAGGATGGGTAAAAGGGAGATAGGGCGATAAGAGGATGGGTTTTCTGGTGGGTTTTTGGGCTTATGTATCATTTTGATAATAGATAATTTCCAAGGGTTAGGAAAGTGTGTGGTTCGCAGAACAGCATTATATATATACGTAAGGAATAGGATGGCTTTCCGAGGAAGCAGTTTTAGGATCTGGGATGTAATTAGGTCATGTCCAGGAGCTTTTCGGGAAGGTAACCTTTGAATGATGTCGGATATTTCTGAAGGATGAAAGGCTTTAGGTGGAAGAGACATTTGGAGTGGGATATCCAGTTCTGCTTCAATATATTCAAGGTGATTTGGGTTATGAATATCAGGGTGTGGATTAAAGGTTTTAAAGAGGTGATGAGCAAAGATTTGTGATTTTTCTTCATCGGATTTGGACCAGGTTTGAGCTTCAGTAAGAAGTGGATGATTACAGTCTTTAAATTTCAGGAGCCTTTTAGTGGTCGTCCATAGTGATTTGTCGGTAGGTGTAAGTTTTTCAGTAAAGTTTAGTAAATTTTGAATCTTGTATTTTCTAATTTCAGATTTTAGTTTGTTAGTCAGTTGGGTATAGTGAGTTTTATCTGTTGGATATCTGGTTCTATGCCACTTCGATCTTGCTCTGCGTTTTTCCTTCAATAAGATACGAATATGCTGTGGCAAGTCAGTCTTTTGTGAATTGTTGAACTTATTGATAAAAGTGTTATTATTTATAATTTCTGTTATTGATGCTGTCAGTTTTTCAATGGCACCATTAATGTCCTCTTTTGTCTTTAGCGGAATTTTTAAGTCTAGTTTGTTTTCCAAATCTTCACGAAATTGGTCCCAGTTCACTCGTCCTGTGATCAATTTAGGAGGTGATGGTTCAGGAGCATAGCTCGAATGTAGTGAAAGTAGAACTGGACTATGGTTTGAAGAAAGGTCATCAAGGGATTTGATTATGGTTTGTGAGGAGGAGATCTGAGAAGTTATAAATATATCTAGGATATCGGGACGTTTTTTGAGGGATGTTGGCCAATAAGTAGGACTCATGGGCGAAAGGATTGAATAATTGTTGGAAGATGAAACACGTGATAGTATGTTACCGCGGGGGTTGGATGTTCGACAACCCCATCGTTGGTGTTTAGCATTGTAGTCCCCTCCAGCAATGAAGCGCGATCCGAGGGATTTGAATAAGGAATCAAGGAGGTTATAGGAGAGGGAATTACCAGGAGGACAGTATACAGCTGAGAATGTGAGATGGAAAGGGCGAGTTGAAAGGACTACGGAAGTTGATTGAATGGCATCAGTTGGAATGGAAGGAATAAGGGAATGGGGTAATGATTTATGTATAAGGATGCAAGAACCGGCATGGGAGGTGTTGTCTGGGTGATCAGTTCTATAAGTGAAGTAGTCACGTATGTAGAAATGTATTGACTGGGAGGTTTGGCAGCCTCCTGTAATCCAGCTACCTGGAGGTCGGGAACTGTGGATGAGTTGAGGACGGGAGTCACTGGAGCGAGGTGTGCCCACGTCGACCAGGCGTCCGCACTAAGCTGACCATCAACATGGTCGCCCTGTGGGAGCACGGGGCGACCAGGTTCGCTAAAGAGGGGCGCACCGGGCCAGGGGGGTAACCCAGCAGCCAAAAGTCCCCGTGGTCAGCAGTAGTGGGATCGCGCCCGTGAGTGGGACCCTCGCTTCAGCCTGGCCGATAGACTTGGACCGGTCTCTTTTGGGGATCAAAATAGCAGCAGAGCGATGTGCCAACCTTGTAGCCAGATGGTGTGAGGGAAAGAAAATGCGTATGGCTGCTGAAAAGACGCAAGCCATCCTCTTGAAAGGCACGACTGATAGAGCACACCCCATTAGCATGGATATAGAAGGTCAAATAATACGCCCAAGTGAGGTGGTAACATATCTTGGTGTAAGGTTAGGAAAAGGCCTAAATATAACACCTCACTTGGATTATCTAGCAACTAAGGTGACCCAAGCCTTGAACGGACTCAGTCGTGTTGGGGGTGCATTCTGGGGCCTCAGATACCCCGCAACGATGACGATCTATAAAGGTGTTGTGCTGGGTATTTTGAGGTATGCATCTCCCTCCTGGTATAGGAACCTCACACAGCGACAGCGAAAAAGGTTGGCGTCGATCCAGAGGATGGCCCTGTTGCGTGTCACCAGAGCATTTAGGACAACGTCACATGAAGCAGTGCAGGTCCTAGCGGGGGCGGTACCTCTCGACCTCCTCCTGCGAGAAGATGTGATCAAGCATAAATACAAGAAAGAAGGCTTGGCTGGAGTTCCAGAAAATCTGCGGGTGAGGATTGTGGAAAGTCCCAACAAATGGAAGAAGATAATCCGGGAGGATACGATTGAGGAATGGAGCCGTCGGTGGGTTGCTACCCCGAAAGGGAGTACTCTCAGAAAATACTTCCCCACCGTACAGTCGCGGTTAGATGCACAATGGATCCTCCCGGACTATTGGATTTCACAGTTTCTCACGGGGCATGGGGGTTTTCGAGCTAAGCTACATGGCTTTGGCCAGGACATAGATCCCCAATGCCCCACTTGTGGAGTTCTGGAGACTGTCGAGCACGTGGTCACGGCCTGCACTGCATTTGAAGGAATAAGGGCAACGATGATGAGAACCGCAGGAATTTACGTCCTAACAGAGGATGAACTTCCTCAGTTGGTAAGTAAGGAGAACTTCCCTCGGTTCAAGAAATTTATTTATGACTGGAAGGAGGCAGTGGGTCCAGCCCACTTCAACATCGGAGCACGGAGAAGAGGACCACCACCAAGAAGACCGCCGGAAGACGGACACCCTTGATGAGACGTCACCGAAGATATATTTTAAACTGTTTCACTTGCAGTAGTATGCTGTTATGCAGTCATGCATAACAGCCCACTATTGCAAACGCCCGTATGGCCCATCAGGCAAGGTAGGGTGGAATGTAAATAAATAAATAATAAATAATGTAGAAATGTATTCGTTTAGTGAAGTGAGTTTCAGTCAATAGAGCAATGTCAATGTGATTATTATGAAGAAATAAGTCAAGTTCGTCACGGTGGTTACTTAGTCCGTTAGCATTCCATAAAAGGATAGTTAGGGGCTTTGTGCTCATCGTTGGAAATTGAACGGAATTTCGGTCAGGATTCTGGTGAGAAGAGTGATAAGTGGTTTTATAGTATTTTGCAGGTCCAATAGGAAGGATGATAGAATGGAGGTTAGGTCGGATGGATGTTGATTGTGAATTGGATTCAGGATAGGTTCTTGTGGTGGATTAGGAGTGTTAGCTGAGGGCGGGATCCGTCGTTGTGCACGAGGTGGGTCTAGATTGGAAGGTACTTGTGCTGCACTTTTTTTCTGGGCGTTAGGATGGGACTGTTGAGGATGCTGCGGTGGTAATTTGACACTTAAGGGTATATGATGAGGGAGAATTTGCTGACGTGGAGGATGAGATTGGGGATTGTGAGATTGAGGTTTGCATTGGGAGATTTGAGGCGCCTGAATTTGAGGCTGCTGCTTCTTCATGGTGATTGGTGTTTTTCTAAAGTCCTGCTGAGGTTGATCAATTTCTTTTGAAGTAGTCGCTAGCTGTGTATTTTGAATAGACGTTTTTGGCAATTCAGGAAAATTTGACAGATTATCAATTTCAGGTAGATGGGTGACACTTTCTTGGTTCAGTTTTACGCTTTTCGAGGCAATGTTCTGAGCTCTCTGCTTATAAAAATGTTTATAAACTTTGCATCCTCTGTAGTTTGCTGGATGTTCTTCACCAAAAAGGGCACATTTCGCAGGCAGGTATCGAGGTCTCTGACAAGTGTCAGATGCGTGGGTTCCTCTAAAATCTAAAAACTTTTTCGTTCTGCAAGATTTATGAGAAATTTCAGCAATTAAACAGGAAAGTTGTCCAACTTATTTATTCAATCATGAAGAAGAAATGGTAATAAAATTCTGTTAAAAATCTGATGTATGACGATAACTCGATTAAAGCAAACACTATGTCAATAACAATGAAATTAAAATTAATAAATACTTGAAAAAGTTTACAACAAATCAGAACACGTTTTTAGTTTTTTTACTCACATAATTAAAGTCAATGTGTGTGAGTGAGTCTATGTATAAAATCAGGGAAATGAAATTAATTTATTTTGAATAATCATTTAAGTTGAAAAAGCGTAAAAGTAATTTAAATAAAGTGAAAAAAAAATGATTATAGCAAAAACAATAAGTAATAGGCTACATAAAAAAAAACAACTAAAATATTAACGTATTTCCTAATCAAAGTTTATTATCTCTACATAATACAACTAGGCACAAAACCCAACAGGTGAAAGTTACTAAATTACAGGTCAGGCCAGTCTCGACTAGACTATGTTATCGAATGACTTCTTACAAACTGTCTGACTAATACAGATAATAGAATCTAGGTATAAATATAATACCGATAAGTTTTTTAATTATCTCCTAGGTGATTCACATTTTAGTTGAATTACACGAATTTCGATTTTTATTTATTTATAAGTTATAATTTTTTATTTCGATTATTGGTTATTATCTACTTCATTTTGAAAAGAAATATTTGTATTCAACAGTAGTGGAATAAAAAAGCAATATTAGTAATAAAAGAATTATAAAGAAAAGCAATGATTGTAAATATTCTTAATGCATTAGGAAAGAATGATTTGTTCGATTAATTTGTTGGAACACATTACATAATTTCATTAGTTCAAACAAAATAATCCACAGGAAATAACTATGCCTTCATCGAAAAATAAAAAATAAACCTAAACGTGATCTGAAGAAAAAGAAATACAAATATTTTTGGCGACGATGGTGCTAAGTACCTTGTTTGGTTTCATTTGCCATACCTTCCAATTTTAAAATTTTAACAATAAATCCATAATTTAGACTTTTAAGAGCAAGGGGCTAATTATAGTGAGGTAATAATAAATAAACTCACCAGATGACGCCCTCGAAGTTGGCCTTAGATCGTAGAGGCTGTTGCTCTGCTCGCAAGAACTGTCTGAGTCCCCTTGTAGCCTCCCGTTGTAGATGCTCTCGTAGATTTGGTCTGTGTTGGTGTTGAGCACATCGTCGTAGATGGCCTCTTCACCTATCTCGTCATAGTTGTTCTCGATGATCTCATATGTGTCCTGACTGACGTACTCGTAAGTATCCTGCTGACCGGGTAGGTTCTTGTACTGGTGTTCTTCCGAAGGAACGTTCTCACTCCTATCCTTCAGAATGGTCTTCCCTTCTTGCTTCTCCTTCAGCTCCTCGATCAGACTCTGCCTAAGTATATTACGGTAGAGTGACGAGGAGTTAGGAAGGATTTTAATCTTCCCGTATCCTTTTTTGTCGACCTTCCGGATAACGGGAGTCTCTAGCTTCTCCAAGTTCTCTTTGTCCTCTACTAACCGATCACTAGTAGGTTGAGAGCTCACAATGAAAACCTCGGCTTCCTTCACAGTAGTTTCAGACTCTGTATTAGAAACTTGGTTTTCTTTTATGACAGTTTTCACTTCATCAACTGGACTTTCAGGGGTGTGCTTCTCGTTTTGTTTAGATTCTGATGTGCTCCAGAGAAAAGACCTGTTGGGCTTCCTATTTTTGACGAATTCTTCAGTACCTTTCGTTGTTTCGTTGTCAGGACTCTTAGGTTTGGTAACAATTATGGTCGGGGGAGGGACTATCTTTGGCTCAAAGGTAACAGAAGATCTAAGTTCAGTATCTTCAATAACTTCCAAATATAAATCAGACTTTACATATTCTTCTTCACTAGAATGAGTTTGAACTTCAGTTGGTTCTAAAACGGATGATGCGGCATTATTTTCTTTCTCTGATCCAAAAAGTTTGGATTTGACTTCGTTTACTTTACCTTTATTTTTTTCTGAAATTTTTGTCTTTGAACCTTTTGGTGAGGTAATTTTATTTTCATTCTTGATTGATTCTGTTTTTTCTGGATTCATGGTGGAATTCTCTGATCTTCCTTTTTCATTAGATGTCAAACTTTTAGAGGGCTCACTTTCTTCAAGAGTTTCGTTGAGGACTTCATCCAATATCAGAGTCTTTGGTAGGCTGAACTTCCTGTCTTTGCCGACCAGCTCCCTCAAGTCCTTGGTGACATACTTGTTGGATGTCTTCCGGTCAATCGTCTTCGGCTTCGGGTGAACCTTGGGCTTGATCTTCTCCTCCTTAACTTCTGGGGGCAAAGAGTTCTTCCGGACCAAGACCACTTTCTGCCCTTGCATCGTTTCGAACTTCTGGACGGCCGCTCGAACCGAGCCCTGCTCGTGGGTTTGCAACTTCTTCAGAAGAGCAATCCCTCGTTCTTGATCCTCTACTACGACTGCGTTGAACTTGGAAGCTATGTCCGTTACACTCCCAGCCACTACCCTTACCGTCCTGACTGCCTTTCTTTCCCTAGTCTTGAAACTGAGGCGCCTCACCCTCTGCTCCGGCGTCCTGTCGCTCTTCAGCAGTCGAGCCATCTCCTGCCCTTACCCGCTACCTGCAAATATAATAATAATAGTAACAATCAAAATAATCTCTAACTAATAAAATAAATATTTAGTTCTCCATTGTTATACAAAATGTTCATGAAGCTGATATGAGTTTCTTTGTGAATGTTTGGTAAAGGTTATTCAAAGAACAACTTTTGTTTCAGGTTTTAAAAACATATTTTTTAAGCCACTTGGAGTACATTTTTATTGTTTTAAAATTCAGGCTAATTGCACATGTGGGTAAAATATAAAGGGAACTACAATTTAAAAATCCAGCTTCATAAACATAGTCATACTTCAAATATAGATACCAATAAATCAATGATATTTTTATTTCATATTTTATATAGATTGCAGGGAAACAATTGAAGTACCTTTAGATTTTATGTATGGTAATTTACGCTCTTCTCTAAATTTTATATTGAAGGTGGCTCAGGTGAATGTACGATGGGCAATTATTAAGCATCTATTTTCTATAATTTTTACGCTATTTTTTCAATAATAAAAAATACTTCGTTTCCAGTTTATTTATAAGCCACTTTACACCAATTTTTAATTTGGTCAAGCCATTTTCAAGTCTGACTAGTCACTAGATAGAAATGAGACCGACAACATGTGGATTGACACATGATAAGTTAAAGATAGACTTGACGATCGTGATACATTTTATTATGAGTAGACACATGTAATTCGCATAAGAAGTGAAATGGACAGACTCGAAAATGGCTAGACGAGCCGAGACGTCGTAATAAGATGTAAAGTGGATTAAAATAAATAAGTTAGAAACTAAATATTATGCACCGAAGTAGAAGAGAGAAATACTGAAAAAAAAAATCTTTATGATTGTATTTATTAACAATGATAATCACTCAAATTCCAAGTTTACTTAAATGAAATTTTAAGTTCGTTTTAAGTTTAAGTGAAAAATTAATATACAAAAGACTTGTTGACATATTGACTGACCAACAGGTAATACCTGACCACCAATTCGGCTTTCGCACATTCCATTCGACGACACATCAATTGCACAGAGTTACAGACTACATTGCTGGAGCTTTAGAACAAAAACTATATGCAACTGGAGTATTTTTGGATGTTGCTCAGGCGTTTGATAGAGTCTGGCACCAGGGTCTTCTCTTTAAACTTAAGACTATACTTCCATACACCTACTATCTTATCCTTCAATCTTTCCTCTTCGACAGATTTTTTTCAGTTCGGCAGGGCTCGGAAGTGTCTTCAGTCCATCCAATCTTGGCCGGAGTTCCCCAAGGTTCAATACTAGCCCCTCTACTTTACGTTATATACACTTACGATATACCTATTGACGATGAGATCTTGACAGCTACATATGCAGACGATACAGCAATCCTCACAAAACATCAAGACCCTACACAGGCCTCACTAACTCTACAACATCATTTGCTTAAACTATAAGATTGGTTCACACTATGGAAAATTCGACTTAATCATGACAAATCCAAACATATAACATTTACTCTTCGAAAAAACACCTGTCCTCCAGTTTATATTGACAACAATCAAATTCCTCAAACGGACACTGTACTTTACCTTGGACTCACCTTCGACAGAAGGATGACATGGGGCCCACATGTTAAAATGAAACGCATGACACTTAACAAACGACTCAAACTACTTTACTCTCTTTTTGCCAAATCTTCGAAACTAAAACTAAAACAGAAACTGAATACATATACATACTTACTTAAGCCCATATGGACATACTCATCACAAATATACGGCATCGCTAAAAAGACCCACCTACAAAAACTTCAAACGTTCCAATCAAAATTATTGCGACTCATAACAAAAGCACCTTGGTACGTGACTAACAAAACTCTACATACTGACCTCCACCTTCCAACAGTTGACCAACATATAACGACCCTATATCAACGATTTTACACAAATTTAAACGGACATAATAACAGACTTATAAGAGACATGGCCACAGCTGACATACCTCAGAACATGAACAGGAGACTAAAAAGGCGTTGGATGAGGGATCTCCTTCCTTAGACAACCTAAGTAATTGGAACAAGTTAGGGAAGAGGTACTGCTGAGTACTTTCCTTCCCCATGCCTGTCATGTCATTTTATCATTACCGCCATCACATTTGCTGATTGTTAACTTATTGTTGACAGGCGCAAATACATATTTAATAGACAAAAAAAAAAAAAAAAAAAGTTCGTTGTAATAAAGAACTTAGTAGTTAGACTGATAAAGTTGGATGGACGAGATTAACTTTAAGTATATAAAAATTAAAGTTATATTTTTAAAAGGAATTATTCAGCCTTACTCAGTGGAGCTCAATTCATAGCTAGTATACATATCTCCCGAAATGCTGAAGATATTTTATAGAACGATTAGATAACGTACATCTACAAACTGGGTAATCGGTTACAGATTCATCAGATGGACTTCAAATACCATCCGTTTTTAAGCCAAATAGAAAATCCCTTCTCAAAACGGGTTATCATTAATTTATAAATTGTTTGCAATACTTATTCATATTTTCGCAATTATTCCAGAAACTAATATTCTGTTATGCTAGATACTGGAATTCTATTATTTGCTACTTACTTATAATATTATATTATGCTATTAAATAATGCATTACTGTAATCGACCATGAAAAAAATTACTACTCTCAAAATTTGAGATTTTACATTTAAGAATGCGTAGAATCTAAAAATTGAATAGAAAAAAATCACATGATTTTCACCGAGACTATTCGACCGATAGTTTAAAGATTTATCATTCGAAGCTATAACCATAGCCGTTTAATTTAGAAATTTGCAGGCCGAAAAACATGTGTACGCCGAAACAGCAATAAAGATTTTAATGAAACTTGTTTTATGCCTTCTGCGTAAAAAAAAAAAAAGAAAAAATACTATGAATGCAGAGTTTACTTTAAAAATTACTCAATTACCTTTAAAAACAACCACAAATTCGTAATCGGACAACTTGTTGCCAAGATATGTCGTTTTGAACTTTTGGAACACGTTCTAATCCTCTCCATTTTATTTCGTTAGGACTTTTAACAACTCGAAAATTTTACATTTATGGAATCAGTTGAGGTTGTCATTCGGGGGATAGTTTACTTAGCTATACTTTTCAAAACAAATGATGAAAAAAAAAAAAACTTCTTAAGAGTTCAACCGTTTTTATATATTTTTTTTTTTCCAAAGTGGTAAATAAAGTAGACATACTTGATCCATAACTATTTAGAAATAATAAACCATTATATAATAAATATTCCAGCAATACAGCCGGAAAAAACTGCTATTACTCAGACAATTTTACAAAATCCAAGAAAAAAACTGACCACCCCCGTGTAGGAGTCAAAGCTTTATTGTCGGATTGCTGCCACACCGTGTCCAAACAGCTCTGCGGAAGAAAGTAATAAGAACGCGCAGTGTGTGATGCCCTGAAAGTGCATTGACACAATGGATATTATGTAAATACAGTGAAGTAATGAAAGAGAAACTAAAATATCAACGTTCTTGTCGATATTTTGCTATAATTATAATTGTTATAATATTTTTACTGCGATTTGATTATTTATAACTAATTTCATTTATAATTCCAATACAACGATTGAACAAGTCATTTGTATAATAATCTTGTAGGATACGATAATCATAAATGAGAAAATAAAGCCTAAGAATTATAAATAACAAATAATTTATTTTAGCAATATTTTTGAAAATTTCTAGACCTTTCAGGGCAAAGAAAATCAAATTTAGCCATGCTTCAGTTGATCGAGTAATAAGTTACGGTAGATTGAGAAATGGTCCAATAGGTTTCGCATGTCTCCAGGTGTTTTCTGCATCACTGGATTCACCCTTATTCCAGCCATATAATTTATGTTTTATAGTTAATTAAAGAAAAAGGGGTTAATGTTACATAATAATTGAAAATAAAATATTTTCGTATTATTATAGTATTAAGGTTATTATGTTAGCTCTCGCATTATACGAATAAATGATTAAGGATGTAGAAAATTTCAAATTAATCTCCAAAGAAATAGCCTGAACACGTGAGAGCACTTAAATACTAATATTCATTTATTTTACCAAAAACATTATTCTAATTTAATTTGGACAAATAAACATAATTAATAAGAAAATGTACGTTTCTTTTGCGTACAGAGAGCAATGAATATGATAAAAATGTATAAATTATAAATTGTTCAAAACAAAGAAAAAATATGGTGCCCATCACACAACTTTCACATACCACCCTTCTTAGAATGTATATATATATATATATATATATATAAAACAATAATTACTATATTTTTTAAAAATATTCTGAGCTTTATCGGAAACATCTATCACGAAACTCGTTGAAAAAGGAGTTCATACTGTTTACTATAGGTTTATATTTTTTAATTTCTTTAATGATTAATGCTAATAATTAGCAATTAAAGTTAATGAACTTTATATTAGTATAATACTCGTCATATGTTTATTTTTTTTAGCATTAGTTTAGAATGATTATTTTTCGACAGTTTCATAAAGATATAAATATCATTTATTTTATTCAATATTTCATATTCACTTTTCAAACCCAATAAATTCTTAACATTTCACGTGAAAATCTTTTAATAGAAGTAGGGGTAAGTGAAATAAACACTGTGGAAGCTGTAAAAGAAGGGGGATCAATAAAGGAGAATTCTGGGCTCATTCCGTAAGTTTTAGTTCCCAAACCTTATTTATCATTTAGATATTGTATATTTATATTTTTAATAACTAGCTATATTACTGATAAATCTGGATATTTAAAATTTTTTCAAAGGATATTTCATATTATTGAAACATATGAAGTTATTTGACTGATTTATTTATTTAACAATTTGTTGCCTTGCACAGCTAAATTAGGCCAGAGGTACCATTCATGCACAACGTATAATAAATTTAAACTGGTAGTATAATTGTCAAAAATAAGAAGAAGACAGCAATTTA